GGCCACTGCACTCCAGTATGGGTGACAGAGTGAGACTCCAACTCAAAAAAAAACAAAGATGCCAAAATGTCATGAAAGACAGAAGGTGAAACACACAGTGAATGTAGCACATGTCCTTGGATTTCCTGGGAAACAGGAGCTGGTACCTCAGCCCAGGTGAAGGGTCTGGCCCATGGGCATGAGTGGGACCAGAGTCACCAAAAGCAAGATACTGCTCCGAGTCAGGGCATCAGGGGAGCTTGGTGCTTTCCGAGAATGCTTTTCCTTCTTGTTGCTGGTGACCCCTGTGAGGCACATCCCAAAGCCCCCTCTGGACCCAGCCCTAGTCCCAGCCAGAACTCCTGCGTGCCTTGATCAACTGAGTCTGTGCAGTCAGGGTGAGACTGGCTGGGTCCTGTGCTACTCTGAGCTGGGTGAATGTTAACCCTGTGTCCTCTCTTTTGAAGCAGCCAGTTGACGATGATGCGATGGTGGCATAAATGACGATCACGCAAGGGGAGCAGAACGATGCCCAAGGGTGGGTGTTCTAAAACACCACAGCAAGAAGACGTTCCTCTCAGCAACGACATGGTGGAGAAACAAACTGGGAAAAAGGTAACATCTGTGCCCTCCCTTCTGGCACTGGCCTCCATGCACACCTTCCCGAGACGAACGAGCTGGAAGTGGCCCCTCTCCCACTCATTAGTCAGAACCTGCTCTCAGCCTGTCTGTAGTCGCCCCTGTCTGCAACCCAGAGCGGGGTGGGAGGAGTGATCTTCCAGATGTGGCCTTGTTTCCTTTAAGGTTGTGTTTATTATTTGGGGATCAGAATCAAAATTTACTTAACAGCATCAGGCACAGTGGCTCATATCTGTAACCCCAGCACTTTGGGACATGGAGATAAGAGGATTGCTTGAGCCCAGGAGTTCAAGACCAGCCTGGGCAATGTAGCAAGACCTCATCTCGACACACAAAAAAATTTAAAAATAAAATAATTAGCTGGACATGGTAGTGCACATCTGTAGTCCCAACTACTTAGGAGTCTGAGGTGGAAGGATCATCTAAACCCAGGAGTTCGAGGCTGTAGGAAGTCATGATCATGCCACTGCATTTCAGCCCGGGCAACAGAATGAAACTCCAACTCAAAAAAAAAAAAAAAAAAAATTTAAATAGTAGGTACAGCAGTTGCTCTTGGAGGCCATTTCAATGTGGCCGCACATTTCTATGCCAAGAACCACAGGACTTGTCATGGTTTCAGGCAGACACACCAGGCATTTCAGGAATTCTGACCACAAACACTGCTGGAGAAGTATACTTCCAAGTTTGGTTTGTTCTAAAGGTGAATAGGAAAATGGGATATAAATCTAAACCACTGTGTTTTATCAATGTGCTGTTGACACTGGTTCCTGTCCTGTCCTGCAGTGTAGGGGTGATGCTGGGTCCTGGGGTGCACTTCCTGTCACATAGTGCCGGGGTGAACTTGGACACATCAAGGTTCAAGGCCGACTTTGCCTTGTGTTATCTTTGTGAGCATCAGCACATCAGGTGTCTGTCCTGAGCTGCCCTGTCTCTACAGTAGGTGCAGGAGGAAGCATCTTGTGGAGTTCATGGTGAGGGAGGCCATGCTGTGTGCAGGGCCAGCTTGCCACCGACGTCCCCCAGGATGACGTGTTAGCTCCTGTAGTCCTTCTGTCTCTGTAACTTAATCCTGGCAGTTCATTGCTCCTCCTTCCGCTGTGCCCATGTGATGGCCATTTGTCTCGGGGCCGTGGTGCTGTGTGTCCTGGCTGCAGTCATTCCGAGCTGCTCTCCCTGTTCCTTCTCTGCCTTTAGACCCCATATGTGGCCTGGGAGGCCCCTTGGTGCTTCCAGTCTCCCTGGTCATGTTCTGGGTGTGGCTTGTATGCACTTGGCGGGCATTCCACGTGTGATATTAACCAGCAGAGTCCTTCATTCATTTGATTTTGGTTAAGTGTGAAGCATTTTGTGAACATGGACATATATGGGTGCTACATAGGTGGGAAAGATGGAGTGCCTCTGCAACCCGTGGCTGTCTCGGCAGTGTGGCCACCTGTCCTCTCCTATGTGCTCTTTCCCTAGCACTGTGTGCCACATGCAGAAGCAGGTGGGCTCTGTGGCATGGAGCTTCCCTGGCAGGCTGAGCCAGTGCTCAGTCAGCACCCACTGCCCAGCTTCCAGGGTTGGGTGCATCTGTGAGGCCTGTGAGAGTCTAGGCTACTGCTTGGGATGGGTGTGTGCTCCTGAGGTCATGAAACCACTCAAGGGGCAAATGAGCAGCCCCAGCCATGTGGCAACTGGGCAGGAGGGAGAGAGGGTGGGATGCTCCTCCTGGTGATTTCCACTCCTTGTGACTGAGAGCCCAAAACGTCGGGACTATTTCTGGTTGCTGCCTTGGCCTCCTTTTTCCCTTGCCTTGTTGGGGTAGGCCTTGGATTTTGGTACCAGGGATGGCTAGGGAGACTTTGTACTACCTTGCTTCAACCCTGGCCCGCCCCCAGTTCTCTTGTGCTCGTTACTGCCTCATTGCTTCTGCCTCACCACTCTTCTTACCTGGATGACTTTAGACTTGAAGAATTCCCCAAGAGGTGGCATACTCATGCAGAGATGGGCTGAGGTGTGGCTTCACCTCAAGAGCTTGGGCGTAGCCCTGCTGCTATGTGAGCTGTGCATTTGGGTCAGAAGCTTCTTGTGTCCACAAGTAAAGGTCCCAGGATACCTCAAAACATCTGTGAGAGCGTCACATGATTTCTTGCCTCAACTGTGCTCTAGGAACAAAGATGCTTGGGTCTTGCCCTTGGGAGTCTGACACTTAGTTCTAGGGCCGCTGTGTACCACAAACTAGGGAATTAACCTGCCTGCATGTCCTAAGACAGCAGTTTATAGGCTTTTTGACATGAGGGACAGTTTCATGGAAGACAGTTTTTCCACAAATGGGTGGGGGCATATGCAGTCAAACCTTTCTGCTGATGTTAATCTGTATTTGCAGCTATTCCCCAGCGTTAGCATCAACACATCAGCTCCACCTCAGATCATCAGGCTAAATTAGATTCTCATAAGGAGCATGCAACCTGTTCCCTCACCTGCTCAGTTGACAATAGGGTTCCCACTCCTAAGAGAATTTAATGCTGGCCTGATCTGATAAAAGGTAGAGCTCAGGCAGTAATGTGAGCAATGGGGAATGGCTATAAATACAGATGAAGCTTCACTTGCTTGCCCACAACTCACCTCCTGTGCAGTCGGTTCCTAACAGGTCTTTGGCCTTGGGGGTTGGAAACTCCTGTGCTAACGGATCACAGCCTCAGTATCCTGCAGGTTCTAGGATGGAGACAGGGACCTGGGAGGATTCAGAAGGCTCAGAGAGAGGAAATCCCAGCCTAACACTGAGGACAAGGAGGCGTCACCACACTGTGTTCCCTATTGCCCATCTGACAGTGACAAACAGGCAGTAGAGAGGGCATCGGGACTTTCCCATGGGCCTTGGGCACTGGTCCTGAGTGTGAGACACTCAGCTGGGGTGACATGGTAGAGCCAGGTAGGAGGTTAGATAGGAAGCGAACTAGGCACAGTGGTGTGAGAAGGGCTGATCTGAGAGGAAACAGCAGGCATGACTTGAAAAGAGCTGGACAGCAGGCAACGTGGGTCTCACAGGCATCACAGGCCAACATGTAGCATGTCTGCACCTGGTTTGAGTTGTTCTCTTTTACTTGAGGAGGAAAGAGACTTGACCAAGCAAAACTGGTCCTGACCATTTAGATGCTGATGGTGTGCACACACCTGTCCTGAGACATGCGTGAATTTGAGTTGGTTTTTTCCAAGAAGGTAGTATGTCCTGTTTGTTTTCTTTCTTCTTCTTCTTCTTCTTCTTTTTTTTTTTGGAGTCAGAGTTTCACTCTGTCATCCAGGCTGGAGTACAGTGGCACACTCACGGTCACCCCAGTGTTGACCTGCTGGGCAAAGGTGATCCTTCTGTCTCACCCTGAAAGCTACACAACATTGTTGAGAGAAATTAAGAAAGACCTCTGCTGTTCCCAAACTGGTCCTGGGGCTGAGAGAACAGGGCTGTGGCTGGCCAGCCCATCACCATGTGCTTCACATAGCTTCTACTTATGTATTAGTATAGGCTTCCTGTAGTATCAGACAAAAGTACTACAGGATAAGAAAACTATAGACCAATAATAGCCTTTATGAACATTTTTTTTTTTTTTGAGTTGGAGTCTCACTCTGTCGCCCAGACTGGAGTGCAGTGGAATGCTCCCGGCTGCCTTAGCCTTGACCCGCTGGGCTCCGGCGGTCCTTCCGCCTCAGCCTTCCAAGTAGCTGAAACTGCAGGCGCGTGCTACCACACCCAGCTAATTTTTTTTATTTATTGTAGAGATGAGGTCTCGCCAAGTTGCCCAGGTGAGTCTCGAACTCGTGGGCTCAGGCAATCCACTCACCTCAGCCTCCCAAAGGCGCGGGATTACAGGCTGAGCCA